TTTCACATATATGAAATATATTTGACTGATACAAATGTGATATAGCACAAAATTTCATTGTTTAAAGTAAGCAATTTGTTTTAGTGTATAATAAAAATGTACGGCTACTTTACATAAGCCATTCAACCAATATCAGTCTTTCAATTAGAATGAGAATGTCCGCAATATAGCAAAACAGTATTCATGTCCAAAGTTTTAATAAATTACCTGAAAAGATAATTTTTATGTGACTCATTTACAGCTTATTGTTATTTAAAGAATTAAGAAATATCTTAAGTAACATCAATGTCAAATAATAAGATTGTCTTATTTCAAAATAATTCAATCATATAGACCTATAAAAACTCCTCAACTATGTTCGTCTTAAGAGGAAAAATAATCTTAAGATATGAAGTTTGATTAAAAAAAACAGTATAAAGTAAAAGATTTTGGAAACTAAAAGGAGAAATACGCATATATTGGGAGAAATCGACCTTGACCTGAGGTAGTTCAAAACGATGCTCTGTACATCATCTCAGTAATAAAAATATTTCTGCTAAATAGATTTAATTTCATACTATCGGTTTAAATGGTCGACAAAAAATGTTGAAATTAGAAAAATAACTAAGTGTGTGACCTTGACATGAGAAAGGTCAAACCTCCACTCTGCACAAAGTCTAATTATGGTTAACATTTCTGCCAAATAGTTTCAATTTCCTTCCACCGGTTCAAAAGATACAGACCGCACAGGAAAACTCCTATGTAAGTCTATATAAACAATTAATCCCCGGGGCGGGGCCAACTTAGATCATAGAAAGTCCAAAATTGTCAATATAAGTTACATATCTGCCAACAGAAAATGAGACATGAGACATGACCTTGACATGAGAAAGGTCAAACCTGCATTCTGCACATAGTGTAATTATGGTTAACATTTCTACCAAATAGTTTTAATTTCTTTCCACGGTTCAAAAATACAGGGCTGACACACACTTTTGATATTGAAACAAAATGACTAAGCGTGACCTTGACCATGAATTTAGAAAGGTTAATCTGCGCTTTACACATCGCATTTTTAGGGTTAACATTTCTGCCAAGTAGTTTCAATTTCCTTTCACCGGTTCTAACAGACGCATGAGCGGACAGACGGACGGACGGACAACAGTTGCATAACAATATGCGCCGAAATCCTTTCGAGCGTATAATAAAAAAGTTACTTCAATTGTTACTGGTTAAAGGCGTAATGCTATCAGTTAAGTACAAGCATAGCATACTGCACTACAAACATGAAAAAAGTTAGTTTAATTGTTATGAATTTATCTCGATATTCGACAAAAAGATTCGTTTTTTTTAATCTCAGTCAAGACTAATAATATCAAGTTGACCAATTAGATTCAAGAACTAGGTATTGAACATAGTCACGAACAGTTACTTGAAATAAAAAAAAACAATGAACATTTCAATATCATTTGCCTCGTTCCTGCTGCACAAGAGCGCGTGTCACTTAGTATTCCCATTTCCATCCTAACTTATAATGACTTAATGAAAGTGCTCAATTTTCCCCTTATGGCTGGTAACACAAATACCTTATGCAAGACACAAATACCTTGAGAGTAACTCTAGTAATACATGAATGTTCTTCGGAAGATGAAAAAAATACAATACAAAATCAGAATCGCGTTTTTAGCTCACCTGACTACGAAGTGGTCAAGGTGAGGTATAGTGATAGGCCTATGTCCGTCGTCGTACATCGTGCCTTGTGCGTCGCGAGTCGTCAGCATTTGGGTTGTTTACACTCTAGCAGTCACAGTTTTAATTGTATCATAATCAAACATTGTCAGAATGTTTGTCTGAATGAAATACAGAAAAAATCGAATTGGGTGATCTCGGGTCTAAAACTAGGTCACAGGAGCTTAAAAATGACAAATAAAATGTTATCATTCTAGTGGCTGCATTTTAATTCAAATAGTCTGGAAATTGGTCGGAAAAGTTGTTATCATAATTTCTTGGTGAAGTTTGAATATGGGTCATATCAGTGCAAAAACTAGTTCAAAGGAGCTAAAAATATAAAAAAATATTGTTAACATTCTAGTGGCTGCAGTTTTAATTCAAATATTCTGGAAATTGGTCAGAAAGTTGTTTTGATGATGTCTAGATCTGAGGTCAAAAAATAGGCCACACTGCCCAAATATGGAAAAAACATGCTAATACTCTAGTGGCTGCAGTTTTGATCCAAATATCATGGAAATTGGTCAGGACGGTTGTTTTGATTATTTCTAGGTAGTGTTCGTATTTGGGTCATCTCTAGACAAAAACTACGTCAAATGGACTTAAAGTAGAAAAGTCTTATTAACACTTAAGTGGCTGCAATTTTGATCAAAATATTCTGGAAATTTATCAGAAAATTTGTTTAGATGATTTCTAGGACAAGTTCGAATATTGGTCGTCTCAGGTCAAAAACTAGGTCATAGGAGCTAAAAATAGCAAAAAATTCTTGTTAACACTCTAGTGGCTGCAGTTTTGATCCAAATATCCTGGAAATCGATTAGGAAATTTTTTTTGATGATTTATAGGTCAAGTTATAAATATGGATAGGGGTCATCTGGGGTCAAAAACTAGGTCACACTGCCCAAATATGGAAAAGCCATGTTAATTCTCTAATGGTAACATTTTTGACTCAATTGTCATCAAACTTAGTCAAGATGCTTATCTAGGTAATTGCTTTGAAGATATCCAGCATTGGTCATATCTAATGTAAAACTAGGTTACTGTAGCTAGAATTAGCAAAATCTTGTGAACTCTCTAGTGGCTACTGCTGTTATCAAAATATCTTTGAAATTGGTCTGCAAGTTAGATTTGATGATTTCTAGGCCTAATTAAAATATGGGTCTTCTTGGGTCAAAAACTAGGTCACACTGCCCAAATATGCATAAACCTTGTTAACACTCTAGAGGTCACTTTTTTACTCAATTGGCATCAAACGTGGTCAGGATGCTTGTCTAAGACCTTGTTCGGTTGAATTCGATGGGACAGGAGAGCGATCTAGGGCCATTTAGGCCCTCTTGTTTATTTTTGTACTTGAGTGTGTCGACGGGCTACGTCCTGTAAACATTGCCTTTGTCTTGTTGATCTTTATTCTCGTTTTTTTTTCTTTCAGCTCCCCCAATATTTTGTAGGGTCAGAAATGTGGCACAATGTTCACATAACAATTTGAATACTGGTCAACTCATGGCTTACTCTCAAATCTTTAGTTATGCTGAAACATAATTCAGTCTTAGTTTTTCTCGAGCCAATGGCCCCATGCTCTTCTGTTGCACTTTTCATTATCCTTCATATACAGATTCAATCAAACCGAGTGTACAGTTATTTTGTAATTCTGTTGTGATTAACGCTTCCGAGGGATCACCTTTTTAAGATATTTTTCACTCTCTTTTTACTGATATTAAATAGTTTCTCAGCTCAGTTACGAAACATGTTCTAGACTTTGAAGCTGTTTTCAACTAAAAGAATAAACACTAATAAAATTTAGAATTTGGATTTAAACGCTTGTGTCAATTTCCGCATGCTGATTAGTTCTAGTCAACTATCACTTTAATTGATGCATGCATTTTTTAAGTAAAATTAAAAAAAAATTGTGTTTCTAAGATCAAAACATTTTATTCATTATACTTACATAAATAAACACCTTCATGATAGTAAGATTTTAACATGTTACGAAAAAGCGCCGTTGTAACATTTAATTATGACCCCATCTAAAAATAACCCATGAACGTAATACATATCAGTTTTAACAAATTTCAACAATAAACATTGATCGATCGCTGCCTTTTTGTAATATGACCCAACCCACATGTTAAAATGGACCTTCGCTGAAAACACATAAGGCATATGACCATACGGTCGTATTTCTGTTTCCATAAATATATTTAGAAATAATAATCGTTTTCTTATCTGAAACAGCATTAACCAAACCATATATATCATATATAGCCCGATCTGACTATTTTGGACTTTCTTTAGGGATTCTTATTTTCTTTATTCAATCACCACATCAGCGTTGTTTGTGCCGTGTGGAGACGGTAAAAATTGCCCCATATATTCAATCAGAGATGTTATTTTTCTGATCCTTGAAGATCGCTCACACGACAATATCGTTGTTTTTGTGGTACGCCTAGTTTTGTTGTTTTTTGTTTTTTTTTAATTTTTGGCATTTTTCTATTTGAGTGCTTACAATATGTCTACTTGAATAATGTTGAATCACCCTTAGGATATGTTGCCAACTTTTTAAGTTTGTCTGTCTGTGATATGCAGGTTTCTTTACCTGTGACCCCCTTTCAAAATTCATTTTGTTTAGTTCCGCTCATGGTATTCTCGTTAACGCTTTCTTTTACTTGGGGACCATATGCCACTTTTTATGGAATGACACGAAAAATGTTGAACTCTGAATAAGCCGGTGCTAGGGTTCTTGGACGGTAGTTTGCACTTGACAGTACCGTCCATGCACAGGCTCAATAGAACTGAGCCTGCAACACTTTCAATTTTGCCTATTTGAACTTTCTTTATGGATTTTTATTTTCTCTATTTTATGTTCAGATATTGAGCAATTTAGCGGAGTTAGAGAATTGTAAAATCACTCACCATAAAATATTTGACATAGCAGTTGTATAAGTTAAAAACCCTGGGATCAAAATTGAAACGCCAAAACTTGACCACACTACCTACTTCTGCATTCAAGAATTATAATAATTTTCTGAAAATAGATCTTGGTTGAGCGATGTTAGGCAATGTTTATTCTTTCTTTTGCGTTTTTGTTGAATTTGGATAATTAACTTACCATTGTCTTTCATTAAAACTTATTTTAGAAAATGAATTGTCTGAGGATGATACCGCTACTTTAACAAAATGTTTCAATTCTAATATATTAGGAAAATTCCAGATTCAAATTTTCTTGAATGATGTTCTTTGAATTTGATATACAGTATCCTATAAGATATTACTGCATTAATAATTCTTTTCTTCAGTTGACGATACCAGACGATATATCAAATGCCCTTCTAGAGGCATTTAAATATGACGCTGATTCGTGTGCACGGGTAATTTACTTTTTGGCGAAATCCTCAGATTGTGCAGAGCCATTTGTTAGGTCACTGCAGAGCGTGATGTCCAATGCGATGGTATTCAAGAAAGTGGCAGAAAGGATGGCTGAAGATACAAAAACTGCAGATGAAAACCCACATTATCGACAAATGATGTATGACGTTTGGAATAATTTTCTGAAAGACATAGATATTAATGATCCTGACGGTGGTCAAAGATTGGCGTTAGCCATCCAATCAGACGTTAATTGTACTGTTGCACAGTTTTGTTTTATGAGAGCAGTTTCTCGTCTTCCTCCTGAAAGTTTTAGAGCTCTGGCAACTACCGTCAGTGCAATGGGTGGACCATTGGCTCTTTATGGAGGCAGAGCCATAACCGTCGCACGAAAGGCCCAACCTGTCGTAAGAGTTGCTCTTGTGACAGTAGTTCTTGCATGGAATGTCATCTTGAATATAAAGCGATGGTGGACTGGGGAAATAACTGGCGTAAGATGCGCGAAGAATATAATAGATTGTGGCGTAGGGGTAGCTGCAGGCATTGGTGGCGGAATTGGAGGAGAAATTATTGGTGCATCCGTTGGTTCCATTTTCGGACCGATAGGAACAGGTGTTGGAATGGTTGTTGGTGCCGTCGCAGGTGGAGTTCTTGCTGCAACAACTGCTGAGTCACTTTGTGATCGGCTGACACAGTGGGTGTTTGGCCTGCCAAAATCTGAGGCATTAGAAAACGCATACACCTTTCTCGGTACATCATCCAACGATTCAAATAGCGTTGTGAATTCACAGTACAGACGTTTAGCTCTGCAATACCATCCAGACAAAGGTGGAGACGCTGAGAAGTGGACACGGCTACAATATTCAATGGCCGTTATAAGAGAAGCGAGAGGGGAACCGTAGGTAAAGGTAATAATTGAAATGAAGTCTTGTTTGTGCATTATTGCTGGAAATTCGTTTTTGTCATTCGTCACTTTACTTGGTAATTCAATTCGTCGAGAACAAAGAGGTTGATTGTTTGTTTGTTTTTTGTTTTTTTGTTTTTTTTTTGTTTTTTTTGTATTTATGTTTTTTGTTGTTTTTTATGCTGTATAGAAGCACATATCATTTGCATGGACATTCCTTGCAGAATTACTTTACATGCTTTTTGCATCACTGCTTACTGACTCCTTAAGTGTTGTAATGCATGTGTATAACATAAAATTGATTTTGTATTCTTTTTCTCTATGTGTGTATTATAAGTGATGGGAATCAAGATGATCATAAAACATGGTTAAGACAATATTCGTTATATTGGTGTAAATTTGTATATCTTTATTATTTATATGTATTGAATGATTTCTCTGGTAAAGGTGTTTTTGGTTTGGAATTGAGATACATTAATAATAAAACCACGTTATTATAATAGTTTATGACGAATTGCAGTTATTTGCATACATTTTGATTTATGTTTAGAAGTATATATAAGTTTTCTTTTACATGTTTAATTTATAAAAATTTTATATGCATAATTTTGTCATGTTAAAGTAACTTTATACTCCTTTATTCATTGTCCAGTTAGTTATTTGCATACATTTTGATTTATGTTTAGAAGTATATATAAGTTTTCTTTTACATGTTTAATTTATATGCATAATTTTGTCATGTTAAAGTAACTTTATACTCCTTTATTCATTGTCCAGTTAGTTATTTGCATACATTTTGATTTATGTTTAGAAGTATATAGAAGTTTTCTTGTTGCATGTTTAATTGATATGCATAATTGTGTCATGTTAAAGTAACTTTATACTCATTTATTCATTGTCCAGTTGAGATGAATTAGCAATATATTTCAAAAGATTAAATGTTAAAATGATGATTGACAAATAGTTAATATTGGGATTTTTTTATGATTTACCTTAAAGTTAAAAAGGCTGCCCTACTCTTTGTAAACAGAACGTTACAGTTTTATTGTTTTTTTCCGATGGATACTGATTTTTTTCTTAGGCCACGCAAGTTATCTATCGTTTATGAGAAGTAAATTCTTTAATTTAAAATGGAAACTTATTTTCACTTTCATCTTTTTACTCACTGTTTACCCTTTGATGGGCTTAATGTCATTTTGTTCTGAATATAAAATGAGACATATCTATATTATTGCGTCGTTGTTCTAGGGTCCATGTTAGAGATTCCATGAGAAAAGATTAATAAATACCTTGATGAATGGATGGAGAGTTGCAAGAACTATTAGTGATAAGTACCTTAAAGCTGTTCTATAACTGAAAGCTAATTAGACATAAATGTCTCAGATCCTCAAAGAATTTAATAAATCATTTCAGACATTTAATAAAAAAATAATTTGCATTTATTGTTATGCACCTGATCCGTCCGTCCGTCAATAACCAATTTCTTGTCCTGTCTATATCTTTTGAACCGATGGAAGGGAATTAAAACTACATGAACTTGGCAGAAAGGTTGACCATAGAGATACGATGTACAGACCGCAGATTTGACCTTCCTCATGACATGGTCAAACTTAGTCATTTTGTATTAATTCCAAAATGTCTACTCTGTGTCTACTCTGTTTTTTTAACCAATAGAAAGAAATTACAATTATTTGAAGAAAAACTAATTATTACTTATAATTAGTCGATATGCAGAAAAACAGGTTTGGGCATCCTGTGATCAACATTAACCCCCGGGGGATTAGTTGATTTATATAGACTTTTATACTAAAACACATGCATGTCTCAATGTGTGATATTAATATATCTACAGCTTAGCATATAGCCTTATTGTCCCTGGGTTCAACATTGGCTCCACCCAAGGGGTTATCTGATCTATATAGACTTACAGGGGCGTCTGTTGCCGAGTGGTTAAAGTCGTTGACTTCAAAGCACTTGCCCTTCACCGCTGTGGGTTCGAATCCCGAGAGGGACTTTGGATTCTTTCATGTGAGGAAACTATCCAGCTAGCTTACGGAACGCCGGTGGTCCTACTTGTTCGTGCATGAAATAATGCACGGAAGAGCGCCTGAGGTCTTCCTTTACCAGTAAAGCTGGAATTTTGCCATATGACCTATACTGTGTCTGTGTGACGTAAAACCCAATCAAACAAATAAACAAAAAATATACACTTATAGAGGAACATATTTCAGACTTATTGTGCGACACCGCAATGCCTATAGCTTAGATATTTAGCATGTAGCGCTTTGACGAGTATTTAGATATGCTACAAATACTGTCAACTGCATTGAAACAAAAGGTCTTGGATCGAAATCGCATTATGTTCATTTATTCCTTTTTTATGCTCCCGAAGGGTGAGCAAATAGTCGCCGCTTTGCCCGTCCGTCCGCCTGCTATTATTGTCAGGTATATTACTTTGAAACAACAAGAGGTATCAACTTGACAGTTTGTAGGTAGATGAGTAGAATTGCAATGCAAAAGAACCACAGAGTTAGATTTGATCCTGAGACCAAATTTTAACAGTCTTGGTAATATTGTTGCATGTCAAATATCAAACTTTCATGCAAGAAGATTTTGTAAGATTTTGCTTAATACATACAAGGAATAATGAACAACTGTTGTAGAGAAGCTCTTTATGATGCTACATATTGGCGATGTAGATTTAAGGAAGCGAAATTTCGTTTTTAATTAAAACTCCTTTATTGCTCTCTGACCTAATCAAACAACCATTTGATCAACTCAAGAGTTTGGTTAAAATTTCGGAAGAGATGTTGTTTAAAGGTATTGAGCAATTGTTGAAGACGAACGACTCGCGTTCAAAAACGTAAGTAGTTTAAATCGTGAATTCGTGAAGTTGAAATCTTGAATTCGTGAAGCTGAAATTGTTAATTCGACTTTTAGAAGTTCAACTAAATTATCCGAGCGATGAATGTTTTACATTCAGGAAATTTAACATTAACTATAAACATTACCAAAATCATATTGAATGGTTGAAGTGATAAAAATAGTAGAACTTTGTGCTATAGTAGTAGCAGCGCCCGATATCGGTGCATCAGGTTTTTCTTCAATTTGAAATTTCTCTGATAGTTTGACCTTTGAACATCATTTTGCATTTAAATCAAACTCACTTTAGAAGGTGAGATTTTTTTTTTCTTGAAACCTTTTTTCTCCTCTTTTTATATATATACTTAGTTTCCTAAGCCTGCAATATTTTCAATTTTCAATATTAGGTATTCGGTTTTCGTAAACAATAAGGGCAATGTGTAAAAGAAAAAAATATCTACCATGAAGAAATATTATGTAACATTGTATGATAAGTTTTATCTACAGTAGGCCATCAAAGAATAAATAACAATATATCTTTCGAAACATACCTTACAACTGGTAAAAAAAAACAAAATGTACCTACCGATGGCTGGAAAATCTCGTTCTTCGAGTGTAATATTGCATATCCCTAACCTTCTTCCATCATTTCTTCATGCGACGGAGAAAAATGCTCGTATTTATCTTCAGATGCACCATTAATTTTCTGGATTTAAACAATATATCATATAAAAAAATGTAAAAACGATACGGACTGTACGATACATGTATGGATCATTGTGATTGGTCAATTCGATGCAACCTTGGTTTAATCTCGGACTTTCGTTAATACCGTAGATGTCTCCATAGTAAACCAGGAATTGTGCGAAAATAACGCCCAATATCCGAAACAAGAAAAACGGTAAGTAAACGGACCAAATTACTTTTTATTAAAATCAAATTTAAAAAAGTAAATTAGAGCATTCGACTGCTAGACATTTTATTTTTACTATTTTGCATATTAAAAACAACCGGAAAAAACGAAAGTATAATGTGAATAAGTAGACTTACTATGATTTCACTTTCGTTTTTCCGGTTGTTTTTAATATGCAGCACAGTAAACATGATGATCAAAGCTTGCTTAATAAATTTATGAATAAAATTAAATTCAAAAACAAGTATATTAATATGATAATTTGTTCTTCTTACCTTGGAACGAATTTGAGCTGCGCATTCCTTCAATTTGGGGCTTTTATGCAAAACCTTAAAGAACCCTGTCGTAAATATCATAGTTACCACAAAACTAATTCTAAGTAAAAGATTTTTAGAAATATCAAATGAAATTTCACCTTCATGACTTCAATTATTTCACGAGTGAATCGTTGCTTATTTCAGGTCAGACTAAAACATAGAAATATGCAACACTGCATATGCATATTTTATAATTGCTGTCACAGAAAACGTCTGCAAGTTCTTTTGATGATATTTACCTGAACCTTGACTGCTAAAGTTAACAAAGAATTTATTGATTTTTGTATACACTTCTTGTCTATTGCATTTTTTCATGCAAATATTGTCACTAGTTTGCGAATATTTCGCAAAATATCTTCAGTCTCGTAGTATGATTTAATTTGCAAACATTTGCCGATTCTTTAAGCATACTCATTTACCCAAAATGAAAGAACACTATTCCTAATAACGCCTCAAATGGGAAATTTAATATACTACAGGCTTTTTTTGTTAGAGCCAGTTCATGGACGTAAGTGGTAAATGCAAGGCTCAGCTCACGCCCCTACACTGGCCAAAGCGCTTAAACGTTATTCAACATTTAAACATGATAATGGTGAAAAGAGATTATCAAACCTGCATGTCACAGACAGACGTCAAGGGACAAATTTATAAAGCAGGCAACATATTCTAAGGCAAGTAAGGGTGATTAAACGTGATTCAATTCAAGAAATAATGAAACCATCTAATATGAAAAAGATCAAATAGAAGAAACTAAACTTACAGCAAACTCAACAATTGTGTCGTGCTGAACGACTTTTAAGGATCATTTAAACATTATGCTAGCTTATTCTAAATTGTAATTTTGCAAACATATCCGTCAATTTGTCACATATAGCTTTCAATCTGAAGAGTGTTCTTAATGGAGCTTCATTGAGATTCAAATATCTAAAAACATAGAATTTAAAATTGTTATATAGATCAATTTGGACACTTAAAACGGCAAAACATGCCAAATAAAATTAAGAAATAGACTAAAACTGATATTGAAAATTAAATTTTATGCGATTCATAGCTCCATTTAAACTTAAAGCGTGAAATCGCTTTTCGTTCTTATTTACATCAGGTTATACATTTTCAGTTCTGCTGTTTTCTAATAAGAAATGAACAAGATCTATTTTCAAAAGAAGCGTTGCGTATTTTGCCTTTCCAGAGGACAAAACTATGCAGTATATCAAACATTCATTAGACACAAAATGGATCAAAGAGGCAATTAAAACTTTGGTTTGCTGACAAAGTGTTTGTATGGCGTTGTCCTACATATTAGGATGTTGTTTTCAACGTAGGTTACACGTTACCTTCTGATCGACCTGATGCAAATTTTAGACTCTCATAAATTCAAAATATTCTTGGCGATGAGGGGGGTGTGCTGTTATAGAGAATTGTGATCGGAATACCGGTAAGTTTACTGCTTTATATGTCAGAGATCCAGGTAACTAATTCAGTTATGAATATTTTTTCTCAAGAATAAACATGGTTGTATCCTAATGAAAAGATGGATAAGTTCATTTAAGTAATGCTGTGTTGTAAGGGTAAATTATTAGTACTAGTGAATAAATACGATTTGAGTCAATGTAGTGTATAATGAAACTTCCGCACGTTTAAGAATTATATTTCAAGCACTTTGCTTACAATCTGACTGACTGACTGTAAGCCTGCTTCACGCTATATATCTTAACTGGACTTGCCTATCTTGTAATGTGGACAAAACAAGCCATAACTTTAAGTGATAATTTTAAAATATATACAGTTTGAAAAGCGAACAGTACAGACGGATGTGGTATGCATTCTGATCTCAATCCACACCGTCTGTTCAAATGGGTAGAAACTGTTGTCCAAAACAGGCTATGAGTTAAGCAATATACTATTTAGAGTTTAATAAACAAAAAATTATTTTATCCATATTTTATTTTAAATCAAGTGTTTTATAAAAAAAATCAGAAGATTAAAGGAATAAGAATGGATGGATTGATGTCTGACTAATATAAATATTCATCATTTAAAAAGAGGAACCATGACAGTTTCCCTATTGACATCAACCCTATAAGAGAGAAATTCGTGTTTAAAGACACTATTTTTTACTTGAGAAATAAGTTCATGGGCGCCGCCATTTTGGCGTTCTGTCATTCTCGCAAGACAGACGAGACCGAGATTGTGACGTGTAATACCCACTTCCGGTATAGTTGTACACGCTGGTACAACTGAAATATATCTTGATGAAGAACTTGTTAATTTAATTGCGTACATTATATATTATTTATGAAAACATCATATGGAACTGAATTGCTTTAATTAATTAATTGAA